GAAGTAATTTTTGCGAATCTTCAAAAAAATTGTGAAATCATTTTATAGCCCTCAAAAAAGGCGCCCTATGGTAGAGTACAAGAGATGGAAAGTGTAAATTCATAAAAATTAAATCTGCAAAATAAATTTTTTAACGAATTTGTTACAGTCTTTGAAAATTTTACATAAATGGTATCAAGTGCAACTAACCTCAGATACCATTAAGGATGTTATCACTGGAATTTCTAGTTTCAATTTAATTGTTTCCTATTATAATGTACAAGAAAAAGTATAGGAAGTGTATCAAATGATTTTGTACCTTCTCTTTGCTACAGATAGCATCTCTTAGTCTATATTCAGCTTCTTCAAGTATAATATAAGAAATAACCTGTAACAATTAAACCAAGAACACAAAAGTACCAACCTTCCCCCACAACAATCATAATGCATAATTTGCAGTGTAGCAGAAAGCAGTTTACTTGATTATTATACATTTTAAAATTAATGCTGCATCTTTGTATTTGTGCAGCAGCAAAAATGGTGAAAAGGTCACCAGGTGAGGCTCAATCAAATTATGCACCACCTATATGCACAGTAATAGTACAACATGGGCATGCACTGTGATGAAGAAGCCTAAGTTTTTGTGAACTTCCAGTTCCTCCCTTACATAGAGTTCATACACTACTAGGCTCTACTTGCTTGTCATTTTACAAACTTTTTTAGTAATTAAGCTTCTGAAATTTAAAGAATCTGATCACTGGAAAAGAGATACATGTGGGTAAGCTTAACCAGATGTCAAAAAAGAAGCACATTCACTGCAGTAATTTCACACATACATTTTACATAAAAAGTTTTACTCTGGTACGTTGTATTACAACACTAACAACGAGAGAGATCATCCTGCGCCAATTACATTTGGCAACAGAAAATCAGGGCTTAAAATAACTTTTTCTATGTGACAGTCATCAAGTCATCATCATGAGAGTGAGACTCTCCTGGGCTTTAACAGGGTAGCTTGAAAACAGAGTAAAAACTGGCATTTTGCCAATAAACATACTGACAAAGTGAGCACTGTACCCTTGCTTCATGCCTATACATGGCAAGGATAATAGCACATCATACCATCAAAGCAACTGCACACATTTGTGACATTGCAAATGCCATTGTAACATGCATTGTAAAGTCTATTAGCCGACCTCTGTTAGTTGTAATAAGTTAATATCCTTTCCTTTTATTTCTTCCTAAACAAAAAATAATATTGAAATAATTTAACCAGTCATATTACACACCTTTTGTCTAACATCTTGTCTCCTCCATAATGTTAAGTTACCAATAGTCAGTTTCTTTAATCCTTGTCTCATTAGTATATGAATATTCTCTATCATCCTCAATACAGTAAACCCAACATCAGAGAAAGGAAAGGTGCAAGTGACAGATATTGAAGTGGAGGTTTCAATATACTTAACTATCAGTAGTTTACCGGATACCTTTGACAGTATATCCTTAATATCCTTCAGCACATGTTCCTCGGGCTCCCAGTCAAAAATTAAAGTAACTGTTTCACATCTAAGATGAGGAATGCAAGAAAATCTTTCCTTCAAACAAAGACTTATGGAGAGCGACTTGCAGAATTCCTTTAGCTCTGTTCTATATGTCTCAATGTATCTAGTAGCTTCAGTGATATCCATTTCTTCCACTACAGTATGAAGGAGCTCAATATCAGTCAGTGAACACTCATTACGAATAAGACGCAATACACTAGAAATGTCAGAACATTGCTCAACTTTATTACCAAGAACTGTGCTACAACAAGACAAAAATTCTTTTATTTCTTCTAATGTAAGAGATTTTTGTTTAATAATCTTGCCAACATGGTAAAACATCTTTCCATAAGACATTCTCATTGAGGTAAAGTCTGCCAGTAAGCCTTTTGACACAGGAATATGTACTTCAACTATAAAAAATATTATAGTATGGTAATTTTTGTTAGGATTAAGCTAATTTTTGATAACTTTGGAGTGCATCACCCAATTCACAAATTCTAACTCCCTGCACACATGCAAACTAATTAACAGGCATGCAGCTACCTTGATGCTCTTGACTACTATTTCAAGCCAGTGGAGAATTAAGAAAATCATTGTCTATTACTGTATTTCCACTATAAACCATGTGTCAGAAGCTACATGTAATACTGTAAACCGAAGTGAATGGGGTCAATTACAAAACCTGAGTTACAATTACACGTTCAATTACACTCCTTTTATAAAAATAAATTCTATTACGATTACAATTACACCATAATAGTGTAATTTTAATTACAATTACAACTTAATAATGTGCATGTAAGTTTACTAACTGCCAGCTATAAATATTTATACCCATGATTATTAACTACTAAAATATTGGATCCTCGAAAATCACCAATTTACACTGTATTGCGTCCATACACATGCTACATACCTTGAGGTGACATAGGTTGGAAGGAGGAATTACTATTATCAGAAGATGTGTCTATAAATTAAATAAATAATGCAGTTACTACCTTGTGGGGAAATGATAAAAATATATTTGCTTGTGAGGTTTCTGATTTTGACAGATATTGTACTTACAAATTGAAAAAATAAAAACCTTTTCATGCCATATGATACAGTGATTTTCCTTAAACTTGCACAATAGGCAAGCAGAAATGTGTTATGCACATGCTCTCAACAATAAAATGGATACACCTACTTAATACTGACCACAACAGAGCATGTTCATAACACATTGCTGCTTCTCTATCATGCAGGTTTAAGGAAAATCACTGTAAATTCATGTACCAGAGCGTGTGGTAATTGTATGTATTATTGATAAATGTTAATGAATTTGTTAACATACCTTGTGGAACTACATGTAAATTATGATCTTTAATAGTCTCAGGAACCACAGCCACTTCAGGAATAGGAAAATACTTACCTAAACACACAATAATAAACGAATAGTTGTCATACTAAACAGCATCATTAAAATTTGAGCCATAACATAGATATCTTTTATGCTATCTATATAGCGCTTTAATTTGGGGGATTTTTGTTTTGGCGATTGGTGGTCTGCTAGCGGAATTGCCAAAATTAAAACCTCGAATTATTAATGTGGATGCTCAGTAATGCATGTGTACATAAAAATCACAAAATTAAAAACCACCAATTACAATTTTACAGCAAAATTGCCAAAATAAAGCGCTATACAGTAGATTTTTTTTAATGCAAGGAATAGCCTGTGTTTTTATTTAATACAATTCCTATTATACATCTAATTCCTAGTATTACAGTGTAGACTATGTAAAAAGTTTGAACTGATCACAAGCAAGGGTTATAAGCTTTTAAAAACTAGCAAATTTTGACAAAACCATGAATTACTCTAGAAAATTCGTTCCAAAACTAGTAAATTACCCTCAATTATGGTAGCTATTTTCATAATAATGCATTTATGCCACAAGCTATAATACTTGAGCCAATTTTGATTTGAGTTTTGGGATGTAGCAAAAGTGCAAAACAGAGTATGGTTTATTTTGAACTTTCAAAAATTGCAAAATTTATAAAAATTTTGGGCAACAAAAGTTTCTTACTATACACAGTATGTAGAAAGTTTGAGTCAATTCCATATCAGAACTTTTTAGGTATAAATATTTTATAAGCATAAAATTTAAAAATTGGCTTAGAAATCATCTCTAATTTTTATTACATTTTCAGATGCATCATACTCACTGATATCATCCAGTAGAGTTTGTCCTAGATGTACATTAGTACTTACTGTACACAATACATTAGCAAATGTACGTAAACTGTTGGGATCAGTTTGAACAGCTTCTTTTACAGCAGTTAATAGAGCCTCACGTTGATTAGGAATAGAGGGACTAGCTGACACCACTCTACTAACTGCATCTTGTGTTAATGTACGTTCAGCATAAAGTAACCAAGCAATGCTAACAGAATCACAAAGAGACTGAAAAAGGACAGTATGACGATTTTTAAAAATATTAACGAAGACATGATGTTCTATAATAAAAATACAATGATTATAGTTAGATTATCACGAGCCAGACACTACCATTTTGGTGATTACTAATCAACCAATTACCAAAAGGGGAGGCATCAAGGCTCATGAAACTACTGACTCACTTAACTTCTCAGCTACAGCAGTCTTGTTCATTGATCGTAGAGCATCTGACAGTGAGTCCAAGTTGGCTCCTCCTCTACTGTCAACATTATCAGCTCTACGTAGCCAATGGGAGAGACATTCAGTCATACAGTGATACACATCTCCATGGTGCTTCATTTCAATGGCTTCCAGTGTATCTTTCAGTAGTCCTAGTCTCAGTCCCAACTCTTGCCACTTTATTCCTTGAAAGCCACATTTATTCAACAAGTCGATAACATCAACTAAATCTCCAATATCTAAGCCTAGATATAAACAGAGCAAAAATATCAAAATGGCGGTTCGGGCACCGAATTCTTAATAACAACTGTACCCAAATGAGTTTCACTAGATCTAGTAGCCATAGCTCCAGTAAAATTGAAGAGGCCAGAGAC